CACCTTATTTTTTTTTTTTTAAGCCACCATTCTAGTTTTCCTTCCTGATCTCAATCAATCTTTGTTTAAAGTCAAACTAGTGGACCAGTAGGTGGTGCAGAGGTTATGGTGCTGGATTCCCACATAACTGACCATGGTTCAAGTCCTAGACCCAGTAGCTTGAAAAATCACATCAGGCATCTTTGTCTGTGTGCCCAAAATCTCCAAAGGAGAATGGAAGAGAAGGAATTGTGGCATGCCCATCCCCCCAACCCCCCTGGGAGTGAATTCTCAATCTTTCTCTCTCTGTCTCTCTCCAGTGAGCGTACATGCCTTATAGCAAACTAAAAAGAAAAAGAACTAAAGTTAATGCTTCCCCAAAGAACTACCTAATATGAGTTTAGATAATATGTTTGAAATTTTCAATAAAGAATGATTTAATTTTATTTATTATTATTATTTTTTAATTTGCTATAGGGTAATATGTACTCACCAGAGAGAGACAGAAGAGAGAGAAAGAGCCGGAGGGAAAATGAGAAAGCAAGCCACAAGGCCCAGGACTTGATTCATAGTCAGCCACAAGAGAGTCCAGTGCCTTTTTTTTTTTTTTTTTTTGGAGAGGTTTTCGCTATAGGGCGCGTGCGCTCGCCAGACAGACAGAGAGAGACATAGAGACAGAAAGCGAGAAATCACCCCCCAGGGGGGGTGGTCACGCCGCAATCCCTTCTCCTCCATTCTCCTCTTGGGATCTTGGGCACGTACGCACACGCGCCCGGCGTGAGTTTTAAGCCACCGGGTCCGGGACGCGAACCACGGTCGACTACGTGGGAGTCCAGCGACATAGCCATTACGCTAACTGCTGGTTCCCGTGAGTCCAGTGCCTTAACCATCACACCACTTGCTGGCCTCAAGTTTAGATAATATTTTAATATTTACATTGTAACATTTCTTACCTATATCCCTGTATTGTATCTTTTTCATGGCTGCTTTTAACAAAGTCATTTTTTTCTTTATAAAAACTGGCTAGAGGGAGAATTTTAAATTTAGTTTTGAATTTTGAATTTAATTTTATTATTATTATTTAAAATTTGCTACAGGGCGCATGTACTCACCACCAGAGAGAGCGAGAGAGCGAAAGTGAGAAAGCAAACCACAGTCGGCCACATGAGAGTCCAGCATGGCCCCAAGAATTTAAAATTTTAAGCTAGACCCATTTCACTGATCAAAATCTTTAGGGAGAGAGATTACACAAATAATTCTTACTTAAATATTGTCCTTGTGCTAGCAAAACTCAGGATTGGCCCGCGAACGATATCTATTCCTCGGTCATCTGAAGCATTGAGCTGGAAGAGAGAAGCCAGAATTAAAAACATGTTGCTGTGCCATCTGTGAGCGCTTGAACTTGATGGGTCTTTTCGTCAGTCCAGCTCAGCAAACTAGGCTTTTGGGTCTTATGACAGCTAAGAGGTCATCATTTAAGAAAATGGAAAAAAAAAAAAAATCAGTTACATACAAAATTCACTGAATCATTACATGACTAGAGGACTTCAAAAAGTTCATAGGAAAATGGAATTAAGTTTATTTTGGTGCAAAAAACCTTTTTTTTGAGATTTATAAAGTTTTTCATAGTATTGAATGTCCACAAGCCTTCTGAATACCCCTCATAAATTTTGAAAAGCACACAGCTATATTCCCCTTACCCTTCAATGACAATCACTCTGACATACATTGGAGAAATAATTGGTCTGGTCACACTGAACAGCACTTTTGGCAGGAGCAGAATGATGCCAATTTTAGCTACCACAGCTAGAGAAAGCCAGAGGTTACCCAGTTTTTAATACACTAAAATAAGGACACTGGTAGCAGTCAGGTTCTAAGACTCATATCTAAAAAGTAAATTAAACATTTTCTCTGGCAACAGAGAATATTTAGATTTCTGTGATCGAATTACATCCGTCAAGGTCTCTACAGCATATGAACGGCATACTCAAATACAGTCATTTGAAGAAACCTGAAGAGAGATTTTAAAAGGTATTGGTGGGGCATGGGGAAATTATAGGGCTTTGAAATACCTATTTTAATCCCCCAGTCCAAGGGGCTAGAGGGAGTGGCCCTAGGCATGGGAGAGGGCTGGGGGAGGGAACCACCGGTGACATGTGCCCTGTAGCTGGAAGATGCTGCCACTTGGTGTCAAGCCCTAGGACAGGTCCAGCCATCATTCTCTTCATCTCCAACCCCTGCCAGGATCCTAACTGGCCAAACCGACCCAGGAATCAGAGTAGCTTATAGTCAATAAAGTGCAGTCATCTGGGCAAAAATAGGATGGAATAACCTGGAGAATGGATCAGGAGGACACCAGCAGCCAGGTAGCAACTGAGTGACCATAAAGTAGGGTTCGGTAAAAGTTGGCAACAGAAAGGAAAATGCATAGCCCTCTAGCTGCCTTCTGACAGTGCCAACCCAGACTGAAAAGACCCTTTCAGGAAAAGGGTGAACTGAAATGTCTCATTTCAAATTTGCTTGTTTCCCAACTATCAGTGGGGCAACTTTTTTTTCTTTTTTCTTTTTTTTTGAGAGATTCTTGCTATAGGGCACGCGCATTTGCCCGGGGGAATGGCCATGCCACAATCCTTTCTCCATTCTCTCAGGATCTTGGGCACGTACCACATGTGCCCAGCTTGAGTTTTAAGCCACTGGGTCCAGGACTCGAACCACAGTTGACTACATGGGAGTCCAGTGACATAGCCATTATGCCATCTGTCAGTTTCTTAAAACCAGAAGAACTAAAACCAAGAGATTGGAGTCCTTATGTGTACAGCGAGAATAATCCTATTTACCTCCAAGACCATGGAGCCAAATTCTTTATCTTTGTAGAGCTGTTTAGCACAAGCTAGGATGGTAGACGTCTTTCCTGTCCCTGGAGGGCCATAGAGGAGCAAGTGTGGCAGTCGGTCTTCACTGATAAATTTCTGAACTGAGGATCAGCAAGAGAGAGGAATACAATCAGTGTTTGAGAGCTGCCTAACCAGGGCTCTTGAGTAGGGCTGAATGTATGTCAACCCAATATGACACCCAAAACAGATGCAGATGCAGGAATAAAAAATCCTAAAACTACATTCTACAAAGCTCACTCAGATGCTGAAGCATTACTCAGCAGAAACACCACCACCAAGGAATTGATATAGGTCCTTCACTAGGATAAGGGCAACTGACACAGGGATACTCACTGGTACTCAGAATATCCTGATGAGAGATGAGATCGTTCAACGTCTGTGGCCGGTATTTTTCAACCCTGAAATACAATTTGTCATGTATTACAAAACATCAATGCAAGAATATTTTGTTACATGCAAAAAAAAATCCTTACATATCCTAACTCAAGGAGATCTGAATTCTGACTACCTGGGTTCAAATCCAAGCCTATTTTCTAGGCCTTGGCCTTAGGCAAGTCATTGAACTTTTTCGAGATAAAGTTTTCTCATGTGTAAAATTCGAAATAACAGTTCCTACTTCTTAGGATCTTTGTAAAGATCAAACGTTTAATAGAAAACTGTTCCATACATTGATCAGGGAGCACTGTTATTATTTTAGATTAAAATCTGATCAATAGTTGCATCGCAGATGTTGGCAAGGTGGAGGACGTCAAAGGAGGGCATTTGGGCATGGAGGCCGATCCGGGGTGTCTAAGGTCGCCGGATCAAACTTGGGATGTCACAGGGTGCGAAAGCCACTTTCTAGTTTCACAAGTGGAATGGGGGATTGGGTGAGACCTGGCAAAAATCCTAGAGAAAGGAAGGGGACTGGGCAGTTGGGAGGTGCGGGGCAAACTTCTGTGGCTTGTCCGCCCACCACGGGTCCCGCCACTTGCTCCCCGCGGCCACCGCCTCCCGGGGCAGCCGGGCCTCTTCCTACCAGGGCAGGTTCCTGGTCTTGGTCGCCGCGGGCTGTTGTTGCTGCTGCTTGAGCGCTGAGGCCTCCATGGCAGGGGACGACGCTGACCAGGTCCGATGATTCCGTGGCGCCCCCCAAGTTCCAGCACAGCGTTCAGCCGCAATCTGACCCACTGGACCTCTTGCACTTAACAGTTCGCGCGCAAAAGTAATTCTCGCGAGACTAGGACGCACTACGACTTCCTCTCTCAATCCCGCCTCCTGCCGGTTGCCAAGGCGACGGTTGCTAGGTTACCGGAGGCGCCGGCCGCCCGCCTCCCTCTGGCTCCGCCCCTCCAGCCAGCGCTGAGTGTCTCAGACGCCGAGAGCGCTTCCAGGGAGGGGGAGTGCAGCCGCCAGTCATCGTGACAAATTAAGGTCTCCAGGCCAAAGCCAATTCCAGCCATCACGCAGGTTCAAGCACTTACGTTCAAAGCTGCCAGGGCTAAAAAAAAAAAAAAAAAATCCTAAGGAAAAAGCAACACTAAGTGACGTGGCTGGTTCGTGAATCTAGATACCGGTGCGAAAAAAAGCTCTCGGTGCTTTTTGGTCCCCAAGCTGACAGGTGAATACTTGGAAGTGAAGACAACCCCACAAAAAGCACACCTCTAACCTGCCTATCTCCCGAATCCCTGTCGCTCACCCAACAAGTCTCCAGGAAACAGCTCCAGAGTCAAAACAAAGACAATTCTTCCAGTTAGGTTCATAGGTGTAACTGGAGGAGGCTAATGAATAAACACAGATTTGGTAGTCTCTGAGGATCCGGAGCAGAATTCCTATCAGCATTTAAATATTTTTTTTCCTGAGGTAGAAGAATTCTGTACCACTTTTATTTTCTTCTTTTTTTGCTGGTGTGTATTTTCCAGCAATAAGAGCATATAACATCCATAATAAAGTCTTTTCATGATGAGAACCAAGAATCTTGGGCGGTGTGAAGGCTGGCCTGCGGTCAGCAGTGCTCTGGTTGGGGAGTAGTCCTATTCCTTACACCTGATTATATCAGGGGCACCTTCTTTCTACAGGAGGCAATAAGTAATGGGTGTTATGGCTTCACCCTAGCCAGGGAAGCAGAACCAGGTTCATAGGGGGCTTGCCTCTACTTTGACTTCTCCCTAGGCCAACTAGAACACTGGTTGTTGAGATTTTTTATTATCATGCTTTTTCCAGTTAGCCTTGGACAAGTTACTTTTCTGCTCCTCCAGTAAGTTTTATCCAAAGATAGTTGTGGGTTAAATGAAATAACATATGTAAAGCATCTTGCTTGGGATTTTGGGCACTGTACTCACATGCCCCCAGAATGTTTTTCAAGCCACCAGGTCCAGGACCAGTCAAGTGTGCAGACGACCATGTGGGATCCAGCTTCCTTAGCCACCATGACACCAGCCGGCCAGGTTAAAGAGTTGTTCTCTCCAACAAACCCTCAAGGATTGGGTTGGTGGGACTATGCCACAGCCTGGGCTTTATTCAGCCACGAAGGTAAGACATAATGCCAAGGACCTTTCACATTAGAAACATGCCTCCACCTTCTTGAGCTGGAATATTCTAACAAGTAAATAAAACTGGGGGTGGGGGGGCCAGCAGGTGGCATGGTGGTTAAAGTGCTGGATTCCCACATGGCTGACCATAGTTCAAATACTGGACCTGGCAGTTTGCTTTCGCTCTCCGGTCAAACTGAAGAATAATAATAAATCTCTAAAAAAAAAAAAAAAAAAAAAACTGTGTGTTCCTGCAGCTCAGTTTTCTTGGGCTGCAGAATTTTTCTGTGTGACCTTACATTACATATTTATGAGGTCGTTTGTTTGCTCCCCTGTGGATTGTAAGTTCATTGAGAAAAAAAAGCTTTGATTATTCACAATTTACTCCTGGTGCCTGGAACAGTGCCTGGCCCAAAGGAAGCACCCCATCCTCGTCCATGAATGAAAGATAATAACTAACATCCATTAGACTGTTGACTATGGGTCAGACACTTTAAGTGTCTTACATTTATTAAACTCAACTGTTGCAAAAAGCCCCAGCTACTGCCAGTGGCCCCATTTCATAGGGATGTTAAGTAATTTACTCTAGTTCTCACCTGATGTGAGAGGCAGAACTTGGGCTGACTCTATAGCCCAAGGTCTTAGCTACTACACTAGCGTGGTCTCTAGACCTGCAGCAGCTACACATCCTCTGGGAACTTGTTAAAAATGCTAATTATTCTCTCCTACTTTCTCCCCCCTTAAATCCACTGAATCTGAAACTCTGAGGGTGGGGCCCTGCCATTTGTTTTGTAACAAGCCCTCCAGGGCATTCTGGTGAGCTCAGGTTTGAGGACAATTTCACCACCACACACTACTCTCTCTTTGCGCTCTCCTTTTTTTTTATTTTCTAAGAAAAACAAGGAGGACTCACATGCATATTCTGGAAAAAGAAAATTTTTCTTCTAATTGTCATCTGTGAAGTCAGATTGTGGGGCACTGCTGGACCTACATGGAATTCAGATCACAAGGCCACCCTGACTGAGGGTAGCAGGTAGATCAGGCCGTGAAGACCTTGTTGAGGGGTGGGTCTCTTATCATCGAATAAATAAACTTTAAAAATATCAATCGTGTATGTGGTTTTGCTTATTTCTATTTTCTTTCGTTTATTTATTTTCACGTTTTTCCACAAACATTATTTACCTTACATATAAAAAAATTTTAGCTCATACTCCATAGTTCTTGACAGTTTACAAACAACTTTCAAAATTTCAAAATACTGAATTTCTATTTTTTTAAAGAGAGATTTTTGTTATAGGGAGTGTGCATTTGCTAGAGAGATAGAAAGTAAGAAATCACTCCCCACGGGGGATGGATACGCTTCAATCCCTTCTCCTCTTGGGATTTTGGACATGCACACACATGCACAGCATGAAGTTTTAAGACACTGAATCCAGGACTCGAATCGTGGTTGACTACAACATAACCATTACACCATCTGCTTGTCATGGTTTTGCTTATTTCTGTTTTGGGTATTAATTGATGGTATAATCCTTTAGCTAAGTTAGTTAAACTCTCTTTGGACCTTGTTATCACATCTGTAAAATGGGATGACCTAGAACTTTTAACACTGGTTAAAAGCACTTGGGGATCTTTAAAAAAAATTTCAAGTCCAGCCAGACCAATTAAATCTGACCTCTGGGAGTAGAACCCCACATGGGCATTTTGTTTCTTTTCTTTTAAAGAATTATTTACTTTAGTATTATTTTTAAATTTTGACTACAGGACAAGTGTGCTCACCAGAGAGAGACAGTAAAAGAGGCAAAGTGAGAAAGCAAGCTGACAGGTCTGGGACTTGAACCGCAGTCAGCCATGTGGGTGTCCTGTGCCTTAACCACCATGCCACCTGCTGGTCCCCTTTTCATTTTGTTTCTTAAATTTTTTGCCTGAGGCACATGTGCTGGCAGGGAGGGAAAGTCAGAAAGCACCCAGGTGGGGAATAGTTATGTTGTAATCCCTTCTCTGTCTTTCTTTCCTTTGGGAATTTGAGGTATATAGGCACAGGCCCCCAGGCCACCAGGTTTTTCAGGCCACCAGGTTCAGAACCCAGAATCACACCAGCTGCCTTAATCACCACACTACAGGCTGGCCCAAAGTGGCATTTCTTTTTCTTTTTTTTTTGTTTGAGAGATTTTTGCTATAGGGTGTGTGTGTGCAGAAAGTGAGAAATCATCCTGGGGGGGGGGGGTCTATAGGGTGTGGTTGTGCAAAAAGGGAGAAATCCTCCTGGGGGGGGGGGTGGCCACACGGCAATCCCTTCTCCATTCTCCTCTGTGGATCTTGGACACGCGTGCACACTCCTAGCATGAGTGTCAAGCCTCCAGGTCTGGGACCCTTGAACTGAAATCGGCCTTGTGAGAGTCCAGGCCTTAACTATGTCACCTGCTGGCCCCATGAGTTGGCTTTTTTAAGAGCAATTTTTAAAAAGAATTATTAAAAAAAATTTTTTTAGAGGTTTTTGCTATAGGGCGTGTGTGCTCGCCAGAAAGAGAGAGACAGAAAGCAAGAAGTCACCTCCCAGGAGGGATGGCCACGTGCAATCCCTTCTCCATTCTCTTCTAGGGATCTTGGGCATGCACGCACACACACCCGGTGTGAGTTTAAGCCACAGGGTCCGGGACTCAAACTGCAGTTGACACATGGGAGTCCAGAGACATAGCCATTATGCTAACTGCTGGTTCCACGAGTTATTTTTTATTGGGGCCAGCAGGTGGCATGGTGGTTAAAGGTGCTGACTCCCACATGGCTGACCATCTATCCAGTCCCAGACCTGGTGGCTTGCTTTCTCACTTTCCCTCTCTCTCTCGCTCTGTCTCTCTCTGTTAAAATTGGAAAATAATAATAATAAAAAATAATTCTTTTTTAAATTTAACTTTATTTATTTATTTTAATTTGACCAGAGAGGGACAGAGCAAGAGAGAGAAAGAGAGAGGAGAGAGAAAGCAAGCTACCAGGTCCAGGACTCGAATCACAGTTGGCCTACTGGCCCTTAACCACCACACCACCTGTCAGCCCCAGACCAATTTTGCTATACAGCATGTGCACCCACCAGAGAGACAGAAAGGGAGAAATCACCCCTCAGGAGGGATGGCCACACTACAATCCCTTCTCCATTCTTCTCTCAGAATTTTGGACAGGCATGCATGCAGGCATCCACCCAGCATGAGTTTTATGCCGGGTCAGGGATTCAAACTACGGTCGACTGCATGGGAGCCCAGCGACATAACCATTATGCCATCTACTGGTCCCCCAAATTGGCGTCTTTATAAACCTCTCAGGTGAGGGGCCAGCAAATGGATAGTGGCGAAGGCGCCGCACTCCCACATGGCTGATCTCCATTCCAGTCCCGGGCCTGGGGGGCTGAAACGCATGCAGGTCACGTGCACACGTGAAGGCTGGAGAAGAGAGTGCAGATTGCAACGTGGCCATGCCCCCTGGGGGATGATTTCTCACTTTCCCTCTCACCGGCTCTCTCCTGTGAGCATGAGCGCAGGTGCCAATCACAGCAGTCCTAGGCCCTCACTGCTGATTGGCTTACCAGGTGAGCACGTGACCCAGTTCCCTCCAATGGTTTTCTAGGGAAAGCGTGAGCCGGGCCTTCTGGGAAGGTTTTCCTCATTACTTGACTGACGGTTGTTTACCTTCTGATGCCAAAGTTCTCTCACTCTAAAGAGAAAAAACAAACAAACAAACAAAAAAAACAGAGTTACGTGTTGACAGGTTTGTAAGTGGCAGATAATTAATGTATAGAAATTCCCCCTTATTCATGGTTTCTATTTCTGGGGTTTCAGTTACCCACCCCTCCGCCCCCGTCAGCTGTGACAGGAACATAGGGGAGGCCAGCACGACGAGGTGTTTTGAGAGGGAGACCCTGTACAGGTAACCTTTATCATTAGCATGTTGTGATAATTGTTCTTACTAGCCATTGTTCATTTCTCTTGGTTTTTGTTTTTTATTTGTTTGGGGGAGAGATTTTTGCTATAGGTCACGGTGTGTGGAGAGACAGACAAGACACCTTAATCACTGCGTCACCTGCTGGCCCCAAGCTCTTTTTATTTAATTGCCAAAGGGCACGTACACCCACGGAGAGAGAATGACAACGTTGGAAACAGCCCCAAGGGGGTGTGTTCACTCCGCAATCCCTTCTCCATTCTGTTGGGATCTGGGGCACATATGCCTGGCGTGTTCCTCAAGCCCTTAGCGCTGGAATTCTAACTATGGCCCGAATGTGGGAGCAGGCTCCCTTAATCGCGAGGCTAAGGGCTTGCCTTGCTGTGCCTAATATACAA